GTAACAAAGAACTAGTTGCCATACTGAGTTTTCTTCCTCTTAATTAACTAACATGACCCTTTCGTAATATGTATGAATGACATTGATTCTCAACCAGTCTACTGTCAAATTTTGGTAAACGTATACAATGTATTCATGCCTTCACAGAGTTATATATACTATTAGATGTTATATGGAGCCTGGACCCTAGCAGCCGCGCAGGTCAGTGGAGAGCAAGGGCCATCTTTCTAGGCATACAAGATGTTTCCTGGCTTTTGAGACTTTTGTGTAATGAGAACACAGGGCAGTAATCATATTACTCAAACACAATCACTTTTCTAAGTGTGGTAACTGTGCATGCTTTTACACTGTAAACCACTGTGATAATTTAGTAGAGATTGTATTGTAATTATTGCTGGCTTGTTGGTGTGCAGCCAGAAATTCATAATACGCAATGATTTCAGAGAGGTAGAGCACCACAGATACAATGGATGGAATGAAAGATAAGGAGTAAGGGGGAGACCTTTACAAGAAAATTTCCAAGAAATTTGCAAATGTGTTTAAAGCAGCAGCCGTGCCACCCATGACATTTGTAAATACTGGCATATGGAATCATTCTTCCTAGATTTGAATTTGCTCTTTTAATAGGAACGAAAGCTCATGAAAGCCATTTCCTGAAGGGGGGGGTTGGGGGAGATCCTTTATCGCTGCAGCTTCTGAGCCTAACAGCACTTCATTCTGTGAAAAACCAGACTGCTGTGCCTGAGTCAGGAGCTATGTGAGACGCATTCTGGATGTCAACATACCCTTCAGTTTAGGAGTTTGGGACCAGTGTTGTGGGGAGGGAGCAGGGCCCAGACACCTTGCACCCGCCTTTCCTAGAAGGTCAGTATAAACATAAGGTAACCCAATGGCACAAAAACCCTTAAAAGGGAGAATTCCAACAACTGGTAAAAACTTTGGAACCATGGCATTTAGGAGCAAAGAGAATTGGCTTCAGGACCAGATAAGACTCAGGTCGAAATCCTAACTCTGCTGCTCATTTCCTATGGGAAAAAAATGAACTAAGAGGATGATAACCTCTCTGAATGCCATTTCCTCGTTGGGAAAATAAAACTAACTATAACTACCTAATGAGGATTTCATATGACAACATAGGTAAAGCCATATCGTGGCAGATCCTGGATGCAGCAGGTGTTTGTTGCATCAGTGAATGAAGCAGAGAACTGGAACCCCATCAAGAACTAGAATTGTCCCTCTGTGGGAATAAAGAATAGAGTTATGAACTTTAGGGATTTTATCTCTCAGGAAGTAGAATAGTGAAGAACTTTAGTTCTGAGGTCTGAATGCTTGGGCTTGACTTCTGCCTCCACATTTTACTAGCTGGGTGACGTTGGGCACATTGCTTGATTTCTTAGTCTCGAAACCCTCATTTTTAAAGGGCTGTACTAATAGTGTCTGTTCCATAGGATCTGTGATGGAGATTAAATCGAGGTACTGAATGTAACATAATAAACACTCAGTTATATTAGCCGTACATGTGTGCCTCTTCACAGTAGGGCCAGAAAAGAATGGTTCAGTACTACTTCGTAGCCAAAGAGCATGATCCGGGGTAGTATTTAGAATATCTGACCCTAAAATCTTCTTTGGATTGTACTTGAGTATGTCCCAGGAATGCCTTTTATGAGTTCTAGTTTATCATTGTTTTTATGTTCACATTGTCCTATTGTCCATTCTTTGAAAATTGATTTAGTAAACTAACTTGTGCAAATGAAAGATCTGAAACGGGTTAAGTTGATTGTGTGGTGAATCGTCAGCTTTGTCATATGGATAGAAGGGTAGAAATCACTGGGGTGATCACATGTTCACATTAGGCTCCATGGTGATTCATTTAACACCCCACACAAAGCAAAATGTCATCAGAAAGGGATAAGGTCAACCCAGTGTAAAATGTGTCTTCAAGCTCATGGCTTGTTTTATTACAACTTACGCAGTATTAATAGGGATAAAAGTTGGGAAAGGGAAGCTAAATTCGAAGCATCAAAAACCAGAATGGGTCGGGACAGTGGCAGTTTTAATTTTTTTTTTTTTTCACTTTTAGGCAGTGTCAAGTGCTAATAGAAGCTAAAATGAGTGACACTTAGGGAAAGGAAAAACTTCCCCCTTGAATGTCTTTAAAATCTATAACAATAATAATATAAAGTGCATCTGGGCATTGCCTTCTGCTGCAGTTCTCATCTGGCTCTGATCCAGAACTGTCAAGCTACTCTGAGTGGTGATGATTCATATCCCAGCACCCTTTTATCTGAATGTTGCAGTGTCTTTTCTTTGTACTTTGGCAGTGATGTTACCTTGATGTTCAGAAATCTTTTAAAAGCAACACAGCTTTCCTTGCATCTTGACAAATCATCGTCTGCTGGTAATGAAGAAAAAGTAAACCTAGTTCCGTGATCATTGTAAATATAAAGAAATAAATACTTCCAAGGGTTTTTCTTTAAATGTTCATGCATTTTGGGGCACCTGGGTGGCTCAGTCGGTTAAGCGTCTGCCTTCGGCTCAGGTCATGATCCCAGGGTCCTAGGATCAAGCCCCATGTTGGGCTCCCTACTCCACAGGGAGCTTGCTTCTCCCTCTCCCACTCCCCCTGCTTGTGCTCTCTCTCTCTCTCTCTCTCTCTCTCCCCCCCTCTCAAATAAATAAAATCTTTAAAAAAATGTTCATGCATTTTGAGATCCTCTGAAAAGTGATCTGGTCATCTTTCCTTGTTCTCCTTGTATAAATAAGCATGCTGCTTTTCAAAAGCATTGATCAAATGAAGTTTCTGTGGATCATTTGATAGTTGAGGACAGAATTTAGGATTTTTATGTGATTTCTCATCTTTAGGGATTTTTAAAAAGGGAAACTGATTATTTTTATTGTTGTTTACATTTACTGCTGTTGTTGAAAAGTTAATATTTTGTTAGTTACCAATTTTAATATGCTTTAATATATCCTCATAATAATAATGCTGTGAATTCACATGGTGCTTTTCTTTTTTTTTTTTTTTTAAGGATTTTATTTATTTATTTGATGGGGTGGGGGGAGAGAGAACAAGCAGGGGTGAGTGGCAGGCAGAGGGAGAAGCAGACTCCCTGCTGAGCAGGGAGCCCGACGTGGGGCTCAATCCCAGGACCCTGGGATCATGACCTGAGCCGAAGGCAGATGCTTAACCTACTGAGCCACCCAGGCACCCCTCACATGGTGCTTTTCATACATTTTATCATCTCTGACTTGAAGCAGTCATGTGAGGTTAGCAAGGCAGATTCTCATTGTCATTCCAACTCATATTTGAGGAAACTGAGGCTCAGATGGTTTATGACTCTCGTGCTCAACCAATAGCAATCTAGTCCTTAAATCGAGGTCTGCTCACTAAAATGAGCAGTTTCCACTTGTATCATGTCCTGTTTCAGAAAGGACTCTCAGCTTCATCAATGACTATTTAGTATCCAGAGTGAAGGTGGTAGTAGATCTCCTGGGCTGAGCACTGGTCACAACAACCTGTCCAAAGTGTGCATTGTGTTTGGATGCTGCATTGTAAGGAGAACACTGGGAAACTAGAGGACACGAGGAGAGTTAAGAATCTAGAATGTGAGGAGCCTGGGAGCAGAAATAACCAAACAAATCAGGATTTTCAAGTATGGAGTAAGGAGGATACCGAGATGTAGTTGACAACTCCAAATGTTTTATGGACTGCCTGGTGGAAGAGGAGTTAGATTTGTTCTTTGTGGTGTCAGGCAGCCGGAGCAGGATCACTGGAGAGAAATTGCACAGCAGCAGATTTGTGCTCAATATAAGAAGAAACTTGCTAAAATTTAGAGATGCCCCAAAATGGAATAGACCAGCTCACTGCCGCTGGAGAGTGTTCCCAAGACTAGATGACTTGATGGGCATTTGTGTTCTGGCAGTAACACCATTTTATGATGAACCTTCTAAGGGCTCAGAGACTTTCCTCGTTAGCTGAAAACAGAGGGTTTTGTAGGCTTTTCTGTCCTGGTTTTAGAAAGTTGTATACATAACAGTTCCTGTTTCACACATCATTAGTTCCTGAGAAGTCTGCTCATCTGATGGGGAAAGGCGTTATTAGTTAACACAAATAAGCAAAACTTTTGTAAGGTTAGGAACTGAAGCAGACGGTGTGATGGTGCATTGTGTATTTTACCTCTTTCGGGATGGAAGCAGGGCCTGGGTTTTGCTGTGTTTGTCTGGCTTGTTACTTTCACTACTCTTTAGTCCGGCCCTAGAACACAAAGAAATGGGGGGAGGAGCTCATTTGATTTAGCTGGTTTTAATTTTCTTAATATAGAAAAGGATGGGGCCTCAAAAGAGATCAGCTGAAATGCATTTGTGACATAAGCAGATTCACTAAGGGAAATGGCTGACTAGGACCCAAATTCACCGCTCCAGATCTAGCTCAGTCACTCACTGCTCTATCATTGTGCCTTAGGTTTTTATTTTTCTCTAATGTGGAAGTGTTCTAGGAATTTCCTTTCCAACCTTTAAATTTTACGATCCTAATTCTCTCAATTTTATGACTCTGCTTCTCTATATTTGCATAGGAAATTGAGAATGGTCTCAATTATAGCAAAAACAATTCAGTCATTCATTTGTTCTTTAAATGACTTATTTATTCAGAAACACTCATCAAATGAAACGCTGTTTCGAAATATCAAAACTTTGCTTCAATATATGTGATTTTAAGAATGAAAGGAACACAGCGAGTCGGTCTCTTCCCGACTGAAAATGAATTCGAGGAGTTCCATATTTAGGGTGTTTTGAAAACAATGTAAATGAATTCTTCTGTAAAATTCTTGTTGCTGAGATTTGGAACAGTCCCATATCCTACATCCTAATGGGATGCAATTAAAACTTATCATAATAAATCTGTTAGCACCAGCGTTATTAAAATATTCCACCACTGATGACTCCGAGCAGGAAGTCTTTTCTGTATGAATAATCTCATCTCTTTCTTCTTCTTCCCACAGATTCCAGAGAGGGGACTACCACATTGACGTCTGTATCAACGACTACCTGGATGTTTTCTGCCCTCACTATGAGGACTCGGTCCCAGAAGACAAGACTGAGCGTTATGTCCTATACATGGTGAACTTTGATGGGTACAGTGCCTGCGACCATACTTCCAAAGGGTTCAAGAGATGGGAATGTAACCGGCCCCACTCTCCAAATGGACCGCTCAAGTTCTCGGAGAAGTTCCAGCTCTTCACACCCTTTTCTCTGGGATTCGAATTCAGGCCCGGCCGGGAATATTTCTACATCTGTGAGTATACAGAGAGTTATTGTGCTGTGGGGCAGCTGCAAGCGCCCAGACTAATTTTTTACCCGTGTTTCAGAGAATTGCAGAGAGCTGGACTCTGCATTACAGATGTCTCCTTGTAAACGCATACATCAAGATCCCTAGACACATTAGCTGGGAATTGAGAGCACAAATTAGATTAAAGACACAGCTCCTCTCCCCCTGTGAAATTGCGTGTCAGCCTATTCAGTGAACCACTGCTGACTTGTATTTCTTTCAAATGAAAATTGCTAGGACCTCTCCAAAGCTGAGGAAAAGAAAAAGAGATTCCTGAAAAATAAAAAATAAAAAAAATTAAAGGAAATAATTAAATTTACATAGCTTGGAGTCACTGGATTTCTTATTCAGGTGTCAGCAATATCCTTTCAGTCATCCACACTTGCAGTGGAGAAAGCCAAAACTGCAAATGTCAGCATGCTGACGATAAATACTCTCTTTGCATCAAGGAGAAGAGACAATTATTAAGAGCAGCTGTGTCTTTAAACAGGCAAGAGCATGAAGAAGTATCTAGAAAGGGTTCCAAAGGAACTGGTATAGGTGAGTTTCCCACCTGTGACTCTGTCCTGAGAGAGCTCTAAAACTTTCTCAGCTGACCTGTGCATTAATCATATTGCCGTGGCCTTGTTTTCCGTCCGTGACGTACACCACTGCTTCGGGCGTCCTACTAGTCATATAATCTAGGTAAATGCTTCTCAGACTTTACTGTTCGGGCGTCACTGGGGGATCTCGTTATAATGCAGATCTGATTCAGGTGGTCTGCTGTGGGGCCTGAGGTTCCATGCTTCTAAAGCTCCCATGTGACGGCTGATGCTACTGCTCTATGGACCACTCTTTGAGTTAGGATGGTTACAGGTAACATTTAATCTAGGCAGCTTGCTGTATATCTGGACTTTTCCTTCGCTCTTATCAAATATTTAAACTATCTGGCCTTTTCCAAGTATTTTCACTGTCAGCTGAAGGAGCTAAACATCTTTTGCTCAGAAGTACATTTTTTGAACTTTTCATGGCTCAGAAATGTTGGGGGGGGCGCAAGATCAAAAGACATTCCTGTCCTCAGGGAGTGACCATCTGGTGGGGAGGAGAGGCAAATAAATAGGCGGTTGCTGAAGGACGGTAAATGCAGGGAGCAGTGGGTACAAGGGTACATGTACCTCAACTCCTTGAAAGAATCAGGAAGTGTGGCTGCACACAGTGGGGAGAGATCCAAGCAATACCACCCAGTATGCTTAGCATTGACTTTTCAGCCCTCCTTGCCAGACAAGCAAGATAAAGAACATTCCTGTTTTTCTGATTCGTTTCTTCACCCTGAATGTCCCCACAGACTCCTAACCCACTTTTTTTTTTTAAGTCTACGAGGATATCTAGCTCCTCTTCTCCAGAAAACAGAATTTTATATTAAGCCAGATTTCACTATCACACGGGCACTCCCACTTACACTGAGATTGAATTTAAAAAGGAAATTGAACAGTACCAGTTTTATTATCTCAGTGCATATTTTAGTCATTAGTCATGAGAAAACACGTAAGAGTCTCGATACTATCTCACATTCAATCCATAAAATAAGAAAAGGAATATTGAGTCCCACGGATGGAGGAAACACTGACCTACATTGACTTCACATGTTCTCAGGCAGCAGGCTTCTGCCTTTTCCTGATTTTTTACTCTGTGAAAGAATCTCATTCAGCAAATGGGAAAAAGGAAAGAGGGAGACGTTAGTGGCGGGACGGCGTTCATTAATTGCCTAATTCTAAAATATCCTACTGATGTAAGAGGAAATCATTGCCAATTTCACAATTTACATATTGATTTCTCAGATTAAAACACAACAAAAGCAAAAACCAAAACTGAATTGAGAGCACTGAGATAGGAAACATACCAGCTAACTAGTTGATTGCATGATTTTTAGAAATTATAGAATCCATTGAGGTTCACAAGCAAGATGTTATTATTCAAATATACCCATAGTGCTTATGACTGGTTTTTTCCTCATTTGTGGTTAAATTCAATATTTCACTAAAAATCATTATGTGTCTTCTATAACATTCATTTAACAGAGTCATTTAACTGTCAAGGGCTCCTGTCAAAGTAATTGTTCCAAAATGCTTCAAAATATCAAGAGCTTTTTGCTGTTCAGCTGAGTTTAACCTGAATTACTTTTTTTAATGAAAGGTAAAATAGCACAAAATTAGCGGCAAAGAGATGTTCATTTATAAGAAGCACAGTGGCCTCGTAGTCAGTTAAATTGAATTTTCAACCATGTTTTCGAACCACAAGAGCATCCTTCCCTGTCTTTAGTAGGGAAAGGGTTTTCTCTTTTCCTTTCACTGCTGAGAGCAAGAGTGGCAGAGCTAACGTGGATGTCCTACAGACGTTTAATATACTGTGGTCATAATTAAACTAAAGGATTCTTAGGGGAGAATGGGCCCTCAGTTGAATTTTCCTCTCTCCTAATATGCATGGAATGAACAAGATGATTGGGAAATGGCTCTTTTCACACTTACTACCTTACAAGAAGCTCTGTTGCCGATCTAGGGAACAAGCCTGACTAGTCGCCCACCGGTCGATTTTATAAAATGTTCTTAGATCATTTCAGATCCTCGAGGGCTTAAAATCTCTAACAAGTCTTCCAAGAGAAAAAAGAAAGCTGTAGCCCTTTGGCGGACCTGCTTTAGGGTGCTAGAGGAAGGGTTGAGTATAGTGGTGAGAACCCAAATTCAAATACACACTTGGCCTTGGGGAAAGAGAGGAGGATTTCATTATCAGAAAATCCACTCATCACTTACTCGGGGGAGGACACAATTTAGAACGTTCTTATCAAGTTCTGCTTTATCCTCAGTAACATTTATTTCCTTCTTAATATGTTTGAGTTATACAAAATTAAGAAAACAGAGTAGTTGGAAATATGTGAAATTTCCCGTTTACTTTCAAGATAAAATGTCCTTCACTGTTCTAGATCCTTTATTTGTCCCCAAGACGGGCTCTGTGCAATGTCCTCCTTTCCTTGGGAACGGGCAATATATTAAGTTGTTATAATCGCTGATACTGCTAAGGTAGACTGAGCCCATTCTTGAATATGACAAATACTGTTTTTAATCGACAGAAGTTATTTTGGTAAGAGATTGGCATACTAAAGTAATTACAGAAAGTCAGTGGTATTTCTATCAGTGATAGATTTGCAGAACTGCCAGTCAATAGATTATGGCAATAGTCATTTATATAGACTTCCTAAGGCAAAGAGTTATTTTAGAAGCTTCAGAAGTACTCATTTTAGAAATGATTCTCATAAATATTAACCTAATGAGAACAAGTTTGAAAGAAGTTTTGCTGCTGTTATTTTTAAATCAGAAGAGGCGAAGGGAAATAAATAAGGCACTTTCAGTTATTTTTATAAGTCAGTAAAACACTAATTTTGAAAATCCTCTTTTGTAAAAGAAGGAAAACTGTGGTCTGGGCCCTTCTCTTGGCCTCACTAACTGTATGATCTTGGGTAAATCATTTCATCTCTCTGGATTTCTAATTCCACAGCTGTAAAATGACGTAGTTGCAGTAGATGGTTTTTAACATTTCTTGGAGCCTTAATATCCGAATCTTACTATATTTTATCTAAAGGTCTGCACACCAGGGTAAGAAATAACATCCATAAAGTGTCTCAGCCCAACGCCTTAGAAGGTGGTCAGTAAATGCCAGTTAAAGGGATATGTTGAGGGTGAATGCAGAGTGGAGAGGCATCTTAACATTATTAAACTTGGTCTCCCCCAGCCAACCTATCCAAGTCGCCGTCATCCGTGGTCTTGACTAGTGCAGCAGGCTCCTATTTCCCCCACTCGTGTCACTGCCCTGTCAGAGCCCTCCAGTGGCTTCCTGTCTGAGGAAGACAAAATCCTGAGTCTCTAACCTGGCCAACAAGGTCCTCCGTGGCGGGACCCTTGCGTTCCCCACCCTTGCCTCTTGTACTTCTTGTCCTCTCACTCTGCCTTATTGTCTCCACTCCAGCCCACCCCCACCCCCACCAGCCCTCCTTCCTGTTCCTCCTTCCTGGCTAGTGCCCACCCCCAAACTCCACAGGAGGGTCTTGGCGCTTTATCTTCTCTCTGCCTGGGGCTCTCCTTGCTCCAGGCATCTACTTCCCTTGCTCTCACTTTCTTTATGTCGGCTCTAAAGAAACGTCTTTATCGGAGAGGCATTCTGATCTCCCTATATAAAGATAACATCTCTGTAATCCTCTACATTCTTACCCTGCTTTATTATCTCTCAAGCGTATTTACACTTGTTTGCTTATGCCCCACCTGCTCTATGTCCTATACTACATTGTTTGGCACATAGTAGATGTTCAGTAAGTGAAGGTCCCTGGTGTTTCCATAGCACTTGATTCCAAGCACTGCTCTAAACCCCTACAATTCTCAAAGCAGCGTGCAGAGGAGGTTCTGTCCTGATGTCCCACTGTGTAGGGGAAGAAACAGAGGCACAGTTAGGTAACTAGAGAAAAGTTCACACAGATCAAGAAATGGCAGATCTGAGAGGAAATTAAGTGAGTAAACAACTAACAGGAATTGAAGAGATAAAGTCCTATGGCTCCTGTGCTTAAAAAGGAAAAACATACCTTATTTTGTATTTTTTTTTTTTTTTTTACCAGAAGGTTAAAAACAACGAGCACTACTGTTTAGAGGATATTACTTTATAAACTCTGCCGGAAACCCCAACTCAGATAGTAGCAAGATAGATTTTAAACACATGTATGCAATTTCAGCTCTCCAAAGAATACTCCTCCATCTCCAAGAGATATTTCAACTGTATTTCCCAGATGGGTGACCCTTTTAATACGATAACCTTTCTGACCCAGAATTTGGGTCACAGAAATTCTTAAATCCAGTGAATATTCAGCCTCTAGACTGAATCATGATTGCACACTTGATTTAGGAATGAGAGACCTACAGTCAAGAAGACAAATGTCATTTTCTGAAAAT